ATTCCCTCTTTTTGGATTATTTGGAATAGTTTCAGAAGGAATGGTACCAGCTCCTCTTTGTGTGTCTGGTAGAATTTGGTTGTAAACCCATCTGGACCTGGGCTTTTTTGTGTGTGGTAGGCTCTTAATTGCTTGTTATTGGTCTTTTCAGGGTTTTGGCTTCTTCCTGGTTTAGGCTTGGGAGGAGGTAAGTGTCCAGGAATGTATCCATTTCTTCCAGGTTTACTAGTTTATGTGCATAGAGTTGTTTGTAATAATCTCTGATGATGGCTTGAATTTCTGTGGAATCTGTGGTGATATCACCTTTATCGTTTTTTATTGCATCTATTTCATTATTCTCTCTCTTTTTTTTTTTATTAATCTGGCTAGAGGTCTGTCTATTTTGTTGATTTTTTCAAAAAACCAGCTCCTGGATTTGTTGATTCTTTTGAAGGGTTTTTTGTGTCTCTATCTTCCTCAGTTCTGCTCTGATCATAGTTATTTCTTGCCTTCTGCTAGCTTTTGAGTTTTTTTGATCTTGCTCCTCTAGCTCTTTTAATTTTGATGATAGGGTGTCAATTTTGGATCTCCTCTTGCTTCTCATGTGGGCACTTATTGCTATATATTTTCCTCTAGAGACTGCTTTTAATGTGTCCCAGGGATTCTGGTGTGTTGTGTCTTCATTCTCGTTGGTTTCAAAGAAATTCTTTATTTCTGCCTTCATTTCATTGTTTATCCAGTCAACATTCAAGAGCCAATTGTTCAGTTTCCATGAAGCTGTGCAGTTCTGAGTTAGTTTCTGTATTCTGAATTCTAACTTGATTGCACTACGGTCTGAGAGACTGTTTGTTATGATTTCCATTCTTTTGCATTTGCTGAGGAGTGATTTACTTCCAATTATATGGTCAGTTTTAGAGTAGGTGTGATATGATGCTGAGAAGAATGCATATTCTGTGTATTTGGGATGGAGAGTTCTGTAAATGTCTATTAGGTTTGCTTGTTCCAGGTCTGAGTTCAAGTCCTGGATATCCTTGTTAATTTTCTGTCTGGTTGATCCATCTAATATTGACAATGAAGTGTTAAAGTCTCCCACTATTATTGTATGGGAGTCTAAGACTCTTTAAGCCATTAAGAACTTGCATTATGTATCTGGGTGCTCCTGTATTGGGTACGTATATATTTACGATCACCAGCTCTTCTTGTTGCATCAATCCTTTTACCATTATGTAATGTCCCTCATTGTCTCTTTTGATCTTTGTTGCTTTAAAGTGTATTTTATTCAGAGACGAGAATTACAACTCCTGCTTTTTTTTGCTCTCCATTTGCTTGGTAAGTCTTCATCCCTTTATTTTGAGCCTTTGTGTATCCTTGCATGTGAGATGGGTTTCCTGGATACAGCACACCAATGCGTTTTGGTTTTTTATCCAATTTGCCAGTGTGTGTCTTTTGATTGGTGCATTTAGTCCATTTACATTAATATTGTTATGTGTGAATTTGGTACTGCCATTTTGATGGTAACTGGCTGTTTTGCCCATTAGTTGATGCAGATTCTTCATTTTGTTTATGCTCTTTACCATTTGGTTTGTTTTTAAAGTGGCTGGTACTGGTTGTTCCTTTCTGTGTGTAGTGCCTCTTTCAGGAGCTCTTGTAAAGCAGGCCTGGTGGTGACAAAATCTCTGAGTACTTGCTTGTTCACAAAGGATTTTATTTTTCCTTCACTTATGAAGCTTAGTTTGGCTGGATATTAAATTCTGGGTTGAATCTTCTTTTCTTTAGGGATGTTGAATATTGGCCCTCACTCTCTTCTGGCTTGTAGGGTTTCTGCCGAGAGATCTGCTGTGAGTCTGATGGGCTTCCCTTTGTGAGTAACCGGACCTTTCTCTCTGGCTTCCCTTAGCATTTTTTCCTTCATTTCAACCCTGGTGAATCTGATGATTAAGTGCCTTGGGGGTTGCTCTTCTTGTGGAATATCTTTGTGGTGTTCTCTGTATTTCCTGGACTTGAATATTGGCCTGCCTTGTTAGGTTGGGAAATTTTTCTGGATAATATCCTGAAGAGTATTTTCCAGCTTGGATTCATTCTCTTCGTCACATTCAGGTACACCTATCAAACGTAGATTAGGTCTCTTCACATAGTCCCACATTTCTTGGAGTCTTTTTCATTCCTTTTTTGTGCTTTTTTTCTCTAATCTTGCCTTCTTGTTTTATTTCATTGAGTTTATCCTTGACCTCTGATATCCTTTCTTCTGCTTGGTCAATTCGGCTGTTGAAACTTGTGCATGCTTCGTGAAGTTCTTGTGTTGTGTTTTTCAGCTCCATTAATTCACTCATATTCCTAAGTTGTCCATTCTTGTTAGTATTTTGTCAAATCTTTTTTCATGATTGTTAGTTTCTTTGCATTGGGTTAGAACATGTTCTTTTAACTCACAGAGGTTTTTCATTATCCAGCTTCTGCAATCCGATTCTGTCATTTCATCACACTCATTCTCCATCCAGCTTTGTTCCCTTGCTGGTGAGGAGGTGTGATCCCTTTTAGGAGGAGAGGTGTTCTGGTTTTGGGTGTTTTCCTCCTTTTTGCACTGGTTTCTTGCCATCTTTTTGGATTTATCCACCTGTCATCTTTGTATTTGCTGATTTTCAGATTGGGTCTCAGAGTGGACATCAAGTTGATGATGAAGTTGTTTCTGTTTCTTATTTTTCCTTCTAACCATCTGGCCCCTCTGCTATAGGACTGCTGAGGTCCCCTTCAGGCTCTGCTGGCCTGGGATCACCTCCAGCTGCTGCAGAACAGCAAGGGTTGCTACCAGTTTCTTCTTCTGCTATCTTTGTCCCAGACTGATGCCCACCAAATGTCAGTCTGGTCAGTCCTTTGTGAGGTGACTCTTTGTATATACGGGGTCAGGGAGCTGTTTAAGGAGACAGTGTATCCTTTATAGGAGCTCAAGTGCTGAGCTGTGGGCTCTGTTGTTCAGAGCTGCCAGGCAGGTACATTTAAGTCTGCTGCAGCAGAACTCATAACTCCCTTTCTATTTCCCCCAGGTGCTCTGTCCCAGGGAGTTAGGGCTTTATTTATGAGTTTTCGTTGTGCTGCTGCCTATTTTTTAGGGCTGCCCTGCCCAGCATGGAGGTCGCCTTGTCACTGTCTGCCTGCAGAGGCTTTGCTGAGCTGCTGTGGGCTCTGCCCTACTGCTGTGTGAACTTTCCTGCAGTTCTGTTTACATGGGTGTGGTTAGAATTGCCTCGGCAATGGTGGCCCACCTCTATAATCTCTCTGTAGTGGCAGTTTGACTCAGCAACAGCTGGCTGCCTCAGCAATGGCAGCCTACCTCCGTAGAGGTGGAGTGTCTCAGTAATGGCGGATGCCCCTCCCCGACAGAGCTGGACTGTACCAGGTTCAGCTGTGCTTGCCGTGAAACTCTCAATCCAGAGAGTTTCCAATTGCTATTTTTTTGGGGGGGGGGGGTGCGACCTGCCAAGCCTGATCACCTGGTTCCCTGCCTCAGAGCCTTTTTTTTTAAGTTAAATGGTTTACCCTCTCAGGTGTTCCAGCTGCCTGTTGGGAAGGTGCCGGGATCTGTGTGATTTCTTGTTTTGCAACCCACTGCGCTGACTGAAACAACAGTGCTGCCTGGGAATCACCTGGCCTGGCTCCCTGTTTCTTTCCCCTGTTTAATCAGATGAATGGGCGATGACTCTGTGCTCCCAGAGCTCCAATTGCCAGCTTAAAAGGGCAACCAGACCAGTGTATTTTGTATGGAGAACCGCTGTGCTGCGGCACTGGCAAAATAGCCGTGCTGGCCAAAATAGCCAAGCTGGTGACCCATGGAGCTCCTCTGCCTGGGAATCTCCTGGTCTTTGGGCAATAAAGATCTGTCTGGAAATGCAGCATCCACTCACCCTCTGCGCTTTCACTGGGAGCTGCAATCCTGAGTTGTTCCTAAACTGCCGTCTTGGATCCAGATCCTGTGGTGGCTCTTAAAGCATTTTAAATTCTTACTTCTGTATGTTTGTACATCATTTACTCCATGTAGCCTGTCTGAATTGCTCCCATCTCAAGTCCCATTTCCCCAATGGAGAGGAATATCTAACATCTATTGCTGTTACTCTGTGCCGGGTGCTGATGTTTAACATGTGCTCTCTCATTTAATTCTCCCAATAACTTGGTAAGATAATGTAATAGTGTTAACTTCTGTTTCCCAGATGAGGAAACTAAGGTAGTATGCTCAGGCCCTCCAAGATAGTGAGGATTTGAACTCAAGTTCTGAGTTCCTTGCTTTCTTAAAGCCCTGGCTTTGATCCTAACCATGGACCATATTCCCCTCTCCCCACCATAATTTCCTAATCTGAACTCCCATAATCTCCTACTTGCATCATTTATTACATACCCCTAGGTTTCCCCAATGCCTGTTCCAGTGACTTGCAAATAGCAAATGCTGAAGGAATATTTGATGGTGAAACAGCTGTTTTCTTTTCTGCAGGGAAAGGGAATTCCTGTTTAATAATTTTGTAGTCCAAGAACCTAAGCTCAAAAGAAAACCTGCCTCTAGTATCCTTTTAAATACCAGGTTTATGGTAGTCTTGATGTTATCTAATTTTCTACTTAGAGAAAAAACTATACAAAAATTAATTTGTGTTATACATAGTATTTAAATTTATTAAAATGATTCAAAATGCATAGCTGTTCTTGACTTATGGTTGTCTTTTATTTCATCTCAAGATGAGCACTGATTATTGGCATTGTTTTGTACTAGGTAGAGTGAAGGATATAAAAATGAATGAGGAAAGGTGCCTGCCTTTGGGGCACTTAAAGTTTATTTGGTAAAACGAGAATGTGGACAAGTTACACTGGCAAAAAAAAAAAAAAAGGCTGGGGGCAGTTGGTGGTTGAATAGGGCTGTAAACTCTTAGAGAGCTGACTGGTAACTGTTCATGTATGTTTTGGTGAGTAATAAATCATTTAGTTAAGATGTCAAGCTTCAAATCATTATCATAAGGTTAAATATGTTATGCATATCTTTACAGCAAGTTTATTTCTGATCGTGAAAGTAGAAGAAGTCTCACAAACAGCCATTTGGAAAAAAAGAAATGTGATGAATATGTAAGTATCATTATAATGAAGTATGTTTTCTTAATCATATAAATTGGGACAGATCTTTTAAATTCAAGTAGCATAATAACAAAAGAAGCATAATTACCTGTATTCACCAAGATATTCCTCATACCTAATGTATTTTCCCTTGAAACCCATTAAAGGAAATAACTAGATCACTAAGAAAGGATTTTCTTGAATTTTATTTCCATACTTATTCCTGAGAGTGCATTAAAGGCTTTGGCTTGATGAACTTTCTTGGGGATTATTTTCCTTAGTGTCAATGTTTGTTTCTTTATTCAGATTCCAGGTACAACCTCCTTAGGCATGTCTGTTTTTAACCTAAGCAACGCCATTATGGGCAGTGGAATTTTGGGACTCGCCTTTGCCCTGGCAAACACTGGAATCCTACTTTTTCTGTGAGTATTGACGTGCCAGTACTTTCCATTTTAAAACCGAACTTTTTGTATGTTTCTGTTATTACATAGAAGAAATGTGAAATATTTATAAATAGTTTTATTTCTTTTTTTTATTAACTTGTCTAAGTTACCAGTACATACATTGATATTTATTGCTTGAGTGATTTTCCAAAATGTACCTAATGGTTACAACAAAGAAGGAGAAAATCTTTTTATTAATCAAAAGTACCGGAATAAGCATTTGTAAAAAGGATGAAAACATTTGGAAATAACTTTTTTGATATTTTTGGAGTCTACCTGTTACTTTAAATCTCAGTTAAAATATTAAGAGGTGTTTAACTCCCACCAGTCACCACTTTGGCATTTGGATTGCTGTGAAGTGTGTACTTCATTGAAGGGCAATTACAAATTTGTTTGTAATAAATACTCAAGAAGGTTAGAAATTTTCGGTATTTTGAAGATGAGAAAATAGCATGTACTTTCCTGCTGAGATTCAATGAAAAGAAAATGGGGGAAGTTCTTTTTAAATAACTTTATCTCATACTGTTGAGATATGGGACTTTCTGAAATGTATGGAGAGCTTACTTTTAGTTGTAACAAGATTAAGACAGATGATAGAATTCGTGCTAAGAAAATTCTCACCCAACCTGATTCCCTCTCAAGCGTCACATGAGTGTCAGTGGTGAGGTGAGGGAGAAAGCACTTCTCCCAGGATCTTGCCTTTTTTTCCCTGACTCGAAACTCATGCTCGTCATTGGCCTGGCTAGATAGTCCTTATTGCCGTGTCCTTTTGACAGGAGCATCATTTTCTTAGAAGCAGTGACCGAAATGGTTACTAATCCTACAAACTGTGGATATCCTTTCAAAACGCATCAAAAGTATTACAAAAAATGCATCAAAAATGCAGAAGAATATTACTGCCCATCCCATTATTCTGGGAACAGAAATGCCCATCCACGCTGCCCTGTGTTAGGCATTCTTTTGTGTGTAAACTAACATGTCCTTTCCAAAATTAAAAGACTGTGTAAGATGGTGAATTTAATACATTGTATTCCATATTGTCAGCCTAATTCAGAGAACCTAACTCTAGCCTCCTCTGTCATCCTGAATGCATCTTTCTAAGTTGCCTTTGCTGTTTGAGCTGAGTGCCAGGTTTTAGAATAATATGGCGGAATTGCATAACATATTTCTATGGTGATTTTTTTTGGGGGGTATATGTGAAATTCTGACTCTCTGAGGACATTAGACAGCTTGAGGAGCTGCACTTTGGGTTTTCAGTGTATTTACATGACACGCCTGAGTGCTAGTCCCAACTCCTAAATGGCTATGTAGTTGTTTTTTTTTTATTGCATTTTAGGTTTTGGGGTACATGTGAAGAACATGCAATATTGTTGCATAGATACACACATGGCAGTGTGATTTGCTGCCTTCCTCATCACCTGTATCTGGCATTTCTCCCCATGCTAGTAGTTTTAAGCAAGTTTCTTAGCCACTCTGAGCTTCAGTTTCTTCCTCTTCAAAACAAGGAAATTGTGCAAGAAAAATTTTAGAACCAGGCCAACCTCTAAAACACTATGATTCTGTGACTATTTTCTGTCATTCCAAAGCTGGGAATATGTTCAATTCAGAATGTGTATTACACTGATTTTTAAAAGTTATTATAATATATCAACTTATAAGTTAACCTTGGGTAAAAAGTCAGTTCTTTGATGATTGTAACAACAGTAACAATCATCAGTAACTCTCATAGCTCTCACTTTGTTTGTGCTAGGCATTACTCCAAGTGTTTTATGCAGAATCCTTAACAATAATTCTATGAAGTAGCTGCTATTGTTAATTTCCTGTTCCACAAAAGGAAACTGAGGCAGAGAGGGTAACTTTAATTTGGGAATCTCTCTTGATCACCCTTCTGGGGATTTCCTTTACCTCTCTTTTTTTGCTAGATCCATTGTTTCCTCTTTCTGGATTTACTTATTGCTGTTACTGCTCAGAAAAGGTGACTGAAAATAAAATTTTTGAGACCTTTATATCTGAAAAATATTTTTATTCTACTTTTACTTTGATTTGTAGTTTGGCTGGATATAGAACTTTATACTAGAAATACTTTTCCTTCAGAATTTTGAAGGTATTGCTCTATTTCCTTCTAGATTTTTTCTATTGTGAAGTCCTATATGCTCCTGATTCCTTATCTTTTATGTATAGCCAGGTTTTGTTAGGTTTTTTTTTCCTGGAAACTTGTCAAATCTCTTAGTTTCCAATATCCTGCAGTTTCACAATAATGTGCCTTTATGTGGGCCTGTTTTCATCACTTGTGTCAGGCACTGGCTGCATTCTTTTCTTTTAGAAATCCATAGGCTTGGCCTTGGCCAGGCACAGTGACTCACACTTGTAATCCCAACACTTTGAGGGGCAGGTGAATCCCCTGAGTTCAGGAGTTTGAGAACAGCCTGGCCAGCCTGACCAATGTGGTGAAATGCTGTCTCTACTACAAATACAAAAAATTAGCCAGGCATGGTGGCAGGTGCCTGTAATCCCAGCTACTCTGGAGGCTGAGGCAGGAGAATCACTTGAACCTGGGAAGTGGAGGTTGCAGAGAGCCAAGATTGCACCACTGCACTTCAGCCTAAGCAACAAGAGGGAAACCAAAAGAAAAAAAAAATAGAAAGAAATCTGGGGCCTTCAGTTTGGGAATTCTTTTTATATTATTGTGTTGATGGATTCCTCCCTTCTGTTGTTCTTTGCTCTCTCTGGAACTACCCCCAGATTTTGGACCTTCTGTACTGGTCCTCTAGTTTTTTAATCTTTCATTTTCATTTCTATAATGTTTCACTGTAATTGTTGGTATATGTCCTCAGTTTTTCCCCTCTTTATTGAATGTTTTTTGTCAGTTACTATTTTTTATTTATAGGAGCCTTTAATGTTCTTTTTTAATATTATTTTGGTTCTGTTCTATAGTTTCATTGTCTTCTCTGAGGATTCTAATAATAGTTTTTTCTCCATTATGAAAAATTTCAAACATAAAGTAGAGAGAATAGTAGAAAAGTATTTCTATGTTTCCTTCCTTCTATGGATGGTTGCTTTAGTAAATTCCCGCTAAGATTGTCTTGAAGCAAATCTCAACTATTTTATTATTTCATTCCTAAATATTTTAGTATATACCTATAAAATATAAGGACTCTTTCAACTCAATATTTCATACCTAGAAACAAGTCAACAACAGTTCCCTAATATCATAAAATATATAATCAGTATTTAAATTGCTCTGATCATGTTATGTTTTTAAACATGTTCAAATCAGTATTCAAATAAGGTTCATACAATGCAATTGGTTGATACGTGTTTTAAGTCTTTTTAAATTTACATTTTCCCATTTCTGTCATTTTATTTGGTGCCATTTATTTAAGAAACTGTGCCATTTGTGTAAAGTTTTCCACAATCTGGATTTTGCTGTTTGTATCCATGAGATACAAGCTGATTTTTGTTTGTTTTGGGCTCTTTCACTTTAGACTCTTTTCTCAGATGTCAGATGGGTCTTCTTTGTCTGCTACCTTCAAGAATGGGGGAAAAGGAGGCTGATTTGAACCTGGCATATATGAATGGGGCTCATTCACAATAGCTTTACTTAGGATGCTCTCGGGCCCTTTACTTGGGAACCACCAGGGTCAGTTTGTCTAGGACCCTTCTCTTTGGCTGTTCAGATCACCCAGAGAAGAGCTTTCAATCCCTTGTTCTGGGGGGCTGGACCTCACTACCATCCTTCTGGGAACCAATGGGGGGAAAGGGCTGGAATGATTATCCCAACTGACATGTGTTCACCCAGTTCCCAGTTTTCATTAGAGTATAAAAACTTCCTCACAAATTGTGCCTAATCTCTCACCTAGAAACATATATTTTATACTTTTCAGAGAACATATCTTCAGATTGTTGCCAGGATGGGAGTGGACCAACCACTCAGCTTCATAGAGTAGAACCTGGTCTAGGGAATCTAGCTATTTCTTGAAAGAAGTTCAACAGAGCCTCACTATTTTAGCTTATCCCTTTCATTGTCCCCTGCTTTCAGTCATGCCAGCCATGCCTTTTAGAGATTCTGTGAGGTAAACTGAGTGGGTCTTGGCTTTTTCCACTGTCAATTTATGGTTCAGTTCTGTCTGCTTTCCGGCTTTCAAAATTTCATTATTTTCTACTCTTATGTTCTGTCCTAGAAGCTTTATGACTTAAAGAAGAATTAAATCTTTTTATTGGGAGATCAAGGGAGCAGGAGTAAGTTCTTGTATTCAATTTGCTACTCCTGGAATTCAATTGATTTTTAACTATACTGGCTGAGGAATAACTGATCTCCTCTCATGACACTTTAGTGTCTAATTAAAGCTGGGAATTGGAAAAATTTGATTTTATAGTTGAAGGAAGATTTCTCCTGGATGAAACTATTATAGTTTATTTGCAAGATGCGTGGATAACAAGTGCAACACACCAAGACTTCAGGCTGAAGCTTATGAAGTTTGTTGTACAAAGACTCAAATTTCAAGTTTCTTACTAAACTTAGGACTCTCCTACCTCAGGACAAGGACTCACTCTGTTACTGTTGTAAAACCAGCTGTTCCTACAGCTGCTCAAAGCCAAGAAGCAGTTGGCAGGATTAAGATATTTTATCTGGTACAGGGCTCCATTCCAGACTCACACTGGCCAGCACAGGAAAGGAGTCCAAGACTGTCCAGGCTTCTTTGGACCGGCAGCTGGGAAGGCTCCTCGGTGTCTCCCTGAGGCTGGGTGTGGAGCCTTCTCTGGGGTCCTCTGGAAACTTGTTGGTGTGATTTCTTTTTCTTGGATGAGGTTGCGCCTCATTTATTTGACCTACTTATAATGGCTGTCCTCCCTGTTTAACACACTCTAATTCAGTTAGATTCAGTGAGTCCTGCCCTTTTGTAAGAATGGTACTGGATTTTGCATTTTCCTGAATTCTGAGGATGCTGGTGGGGACTTTTGATTTATCATTGTTCTGC